CATACATTTTTTGATTTTTTTCATTTAGATAATTGTATTTAAAAAATCCAAAATTTTTTTTGTTTTCATAAAATATCGTTTCTAATAAAATGCAAAGCATTACTTAAAAAAAAATACCTCCGCAGCCGAATTTAATTTAGTTTGTCATAGAGGTTGTGAAACCGGTGAATTTTAAACGGTAAAAATTAATCAATAAACTCGTTAACGCAACTTATACATTCCTTATCAAACCTCACATTTCTGATCATTCCCTATAAGGAAATATACATGTTCTGCAAGGATCATGAAAATCCCAGGGGGTAGGTCCCAGCGCCGGCATAAACCGGCAGGGTGAGATAGTGAAGTAATATATTTCGAGCACCATTGATATCCAGATCAAGCTCAACTGCACAACTGGGGCAACGGAACACTTTGGATCCGCCCAATTTTCGATGGATATGATCACAGTACCCACATGTCTTACTGGTATATTCTTCAGTACATACAATTACCTGACACCATGGATGCTCAAGAACCTTATGTAGAAGATATTGGCGGAATCGGAAGTGGGACCATGTTAACATCATCCGTGCAGTTTTAGAACGAAACCGCATAACCATTCTCTGTGTCTTAGACTCAGGCAACAAAATAATACGATAATTTTGACACAGCACATTTAGCAAGTTAATGGTAACAATACTTAATAAGACTACGGATTTTTTTTTATGTATTACGAAGCATGACCTTGAGAAGCTTGTATCGTTTTCGTTTGTGTACTTTTCCATGAATAGAGTCATGCTTGCTTTTGATTTTGTCATACGTCTGGGAAAGCTGATAAATTCTATTACTATCATTTTTTCCTATTCAATAGCTTTTCCACTTGGATCATAACCAGTCATGAATGTACGCACTCCTCGGTCCAGAGCAATTACTACTCCCTATTTAATTATTTATTAAATGATTAAAATTAATTTTATTAAGTTTTATTCTTTAAATATTATTGTAAAATTATAAAATTATTTAATAAAATAAATAAAAACCTTTTCTTGCACTCCTAAATATAAAAGACCTTGGTTTTCAGTCCGTATTTCAAGTGGTTTAGGTATGCAAAGGTAAATTCTCCAAGGCGATTTACAACAAGACGACAATCATATTCAAGTTGATTTGGAAGAGTTTCTGCTGACTTAATTTTGTGAAGAAATGCGTATTCGCCACGAGACTTGCCCCAATGTTTAAAAAGTATTGTTGATATACCTTTTTAGAACGGAACTTCATCTTGAATTTTTTATGATTTGTAGCAAAGTTGGAAGAATATCCTTTAAGCAAGTCATTCATAGCTTCATCTCGTATATCATAAGGAGTTTCAATAACTCACTTAAGTTTTGTATCATTCTTAAAGTTTACAGCGTTGAGATATCGTGCTCACAAATCCTTTTTGTTTCGATTGACACCTTCTTTTTCAACCGCAGAAAGGCATCGATTGTATGTCCAGCTTGCTGTTCCAATCTATCGTCTAAGTTTCAACCGCTCTTCTTGTATAGGATAGAGACAGATACGTTAAGTTTTGCCTGCTGGAGTCTTGAAACATTTGAGCTTCTTAGGCTTAGGCAGCTTCTCGTCTTCTTCTGCAGTTTGCGGTTGAACTTATTCCACTCTTAGTACTAATATCTGTATTGAATACCTTGAGCCAAGTCCCATTCTTCTCAAAGAACCATTTCACAAGCTAGGGTCTGAAACAACATAATTCCTAATAAAAAAAGGTTAGTAAATAATAAAAGCAATAAAAATAAAAAAAAATAAAAATTAAACTCAACTTTTTAGGTAACCACCACTTCCTTGATTCTTTCTGCGTGTATTTGTTTCAGAAGGTCAATAAATTTCCTGCGTTTCCAGTTGAGTTCTGAGCTGATTCGCTAACGATTTCATATTTGTTATTCCATTATACTTTTGTTTAAGAGCGAGTAGAAAAGATTTTTTTCTTTTTTTTTTTAGTTTTATATATAGATTTGTTGCTTGTAATAACGAAATATATAGACTCAGTTTACGAAATTTGGCATCATCTTTACATAATTTTTTTCTAGTCATACTTAAGCTATCACAATATGAAAATCAAAATGAAAAATTATTACTTTACATAATAATAAAGGTTTAATTTACTTGTTTTCAATATTTTCATTTATTTATAAAAATATGCAGTAAAAAAAAGCATTACGTGTTGTTATATCAAATATATAGAATTATATAAAATGGCAATCATAGAAGTTTTAATGTTATAAATCAACTAATCACGTTCTAATTTTGTCAAATTAAATTAGTTAAGAAAGTAAACTGAAATAAACGATAACAAACTTTAACGAAAATGAACTATCACCCCCATTAAATTGTTACGTCTCTTGGATTCTGTTTGCAATTTCGTAAGTAGTCTAGCCAGATTGTAAAAAGGTAGTTTTGTTAAAAAGGGATTTTTATTTAGGAATGTGAGCTACTGATAGAGATGTTTTTATTTAAAATTACTTTTCCTTATACTTGATATAAAATGCATCAAGTAGATTTGTAATATGAAAGTATGGTTTATTCAGGCAAAACTCGTTAACGGTTAAAAGATTTTATTTAAACAGTCTGGTTAAACTGGCCGAAATTTAAATTTCGGCCAGAATTAAGATTTTTTTATTTTTGTGATTATCATTAATTTATTGAGTTTAATTCAACCGGTTAAAGTAGTTAGTAACGTTGTTAGACCTGGGATTGTCTCAAACCAAGCTAACAAAATCAATAAACTTAACAACACAATTATCTCAAAGGCCTTTTCTAAGAGAAATTATTAATTAAAAAATAAAACAATTTATTATCACGATTCACTTATGTAGTAGGTTATCACGATCAATCCTATGATGAAGACAAGAAGAAGGTTGAAAGTGTAAAATAATAACTTTATTAACTTGAAGAGTTATAAGTCTAATCCCAAGACTTATTCAGAAAACTATCTGATCGAACTCTGTCGACTCAAGTTGAACTTACAGGTCTATTTATATAAATTGTTAACTAGTACTATACTACGCTTTTTGATAAATGAAATAATACATATAATGAAAACTAGAGAATATAATATAAGTAATAAAAAGTAGACTATATAATATTTATATTAAAAGGTAAATTATTCGATACATGTATTATAAAGTCGATCAAATGATATATGTATTACATGTTTAGCATGTATTATTTTCATGATATTCAGCGTAGTTGTAGATTATCTAAGGCATAGTATGATTTGTGACTAATACCGTCAAAAAAACTGCCATATGTATCAGATTATTTAGGTGTGTCGCTAATGCTTTTACCTCTATTTTATTATCATGATAATGTTAAATTCAATTACAGTATGTTAAAGAAAATAAGAACCGCTCTTCTCATGCAAAGATATTAATAATTAATGAAAAAATATTTCATTCTGATCAGCAACGACCGAAAACTGGTCTTAACTAAAAAAATTCACACTGGTATTTGCTTTATCTAGACTTTTGTGCAATTGCAAAGACAAATCAGCATCGACTCAATTATTGAGCGGGTGGACATCTGAACGTCTTGAGTCATACTATGTAGAAATATATAGTCCTACGCTGACGCTCTGGACTAATAACTAGGAAACAGTTTCGAAAACCATTGTTAAGTCCAGAACATAAGTGACCAATCACGTATTGACTCAAATTTTAAGCGGGCGGACAACAGAACATCTCGTGTAATATTTGGTTAATACTAGGGAACGGGGATCGTTGTTAAGTCTGGAACGATCTTAACTAAAAAATATTGCATAAGCTAATCAGCATTGACTCAATTTTGAGTGAGCGGATATCAGGACACTTTGCGTAGACATATATAGTCCAGAACGAAGTGAAGGACTAATAAGAAAGTCTTTTGCTTTGCTCTGGACTATTAAAAAGTCACCCACTTTAACTGTGCCGCCATGATGAGCTGAAGGGTCCATCCGAAGTGCCACACCCACGTTCGTCTGAAAGGGCATCAGCCGTAACCAAAATCGAAAAACAAGCCGCTAGATTTTGATTATTAATCAAAAAAAAGTAAGTAAAATAATAAAAAGTCACCCACCCACGAAATAAAATAACAAAATTATTTATTTATTAATCAATTCAATAATCAACGATAGGAATAGACAATACAATTAGAAAAAAAAAACCAATTTCATCATGCAACCTGACTGTGCCATCAAGCAGATCCAAATCTTTTTTTTTCAATTATATTTAACAACCTTTATTCCTTGAGGTAAATTTCTTATTTCTACCTTATCCTCTACCTTTTAGTGTAAGTGTTATTGTTAGTGTCAGTGTTAGTGTTAGTGTTAGTGTTAGTGTTAGTGTTAGTGTTAATGTTAGTATTAGTATAAGGCATAACCCAGATCCCTTTGTAAATAGTCGATCCTTTAGTTTCAATGACATGTTTCGACGGGTTTCGATTCCAATGTTGTCGTAACTTCCGGGTTTTGCCTGGCAACCTTATCATTATTTATATAATTATTTTAAAAAAATTTTTTTTTAAATCATTAAAATCCAAACGATAATTCTGTGCCACTAATAATCTTAATGAAAGAAAATTCATATCAAGGTGTAAGCATAAAAAAAGAAATAAAAATATAGATCAAAATATTAATATTATACAAAAAATTTTTTTTCTTTTTATGAAGTTTTAAAATTCCATGTTAGTATATTAAAATAAAATCAAAAAACTATTATATTTGATAATAATATGTAATAATTCGATGGTTTAACGGTTAGTCAATCGGTCAATTAAAATCGTTTGGTTAAAAGGCTTTTGATGACCGTAGACTGACCCTACTTTGAATGGGATATTTACTCAAACCCTCCAATTTTTCAATTTTAATTTTTAAATTTTTTTTTAAAAAAAAGTGGAGATAATCGACAAACATATTTAATTATACAAATTGACGTTATACTAATAACAACAAAACATAGATGGTCCATGATAAATGTGATATGATTATGGCGAGATCAGAAATCAAACCCTGCAATTATATAACAATGCTAGAGATGGTTCTCTTTTGATTGGAAGCTTAATACACTTCGCAAGTTTGACAACGAATTTTATTCAATTTTTATAGGGAATAATTATGAGAAAATTTAAAAATCAAAAAATAGATTATTATTAAGTTATATAACTACTACTATTATGTTCAACAACATTTCCAGGTAAAGTATGTTCTTCATTAATATATCTAAGAGAATTATCTTTCCTTTTTACATTCCATACTATAATTATAACTGCGCCCAAAGTTCCTCCAATTGATGCAAGGGCAATTTTTATTGTACCAAATTCACCATTAGAGTTATTTTTAACAATAATAATTGGCGATGATTGTGGTGTTGATGACATTTGCATTTGTAATTTCAAATGAATTAACCCACATATAATTTCTAATATCCATTATATAAATGTTAGGATTTTTGTATGGTAATGGAGCAGAATTTGGTTGTGTAATATTTCCTATCGAAATACATTAAAATAAATTAAAACGAAACGTTATTAATTATTTATTCATTAAATCAATGTAAAAGCTTTACTTACCAAAAGCTAAAATCATATAATTTCCAACCAGATCAGCTGTATGAGCTGAAAGTGATGGAGCCTGAACAATATTTGAATTAACTTGCGGCACAATCAACTCAAATTTAAAATAAATAAATCTGGAGCAACTTGTATATTTTCATTCACACCCCCATAAATAATGATTTTATCATCTGGAGCTATTTTAATTAAAAGAGCAAATAAATAAATAGATAAAGATGATATTTAAATCATAGTTACATACCTAAGACCGCCGTATGTCTATAACGACTTTGAATTATATTTGAAGCTGTTGCCATCTAGAAATAAATATATTGACGTCAACTATTTTAATTTTTAATCACAATTATTTTAATACGATAATTTGATATATACTTTCATTGACCAAGTTAAGTTCTTTGTATCAAAAAGACTAATCCTTTTAATATCAACTACTTGTAAAGTATCTTCACGCATTTCTAAACCACCAATATATACAATAACTCCATTAGATAATAGTGTTGCAGTATAAGAACTTTGCGCATAAGGTTTACTAGCTGGATTGATTGACCATGATAATTCAACTGTATTTAAGATGAACATATCATTGAAATATTTTAGTGTTGTTAGACCTAATAATTGATCAGCTTATCCACCAAAATATATATTTTTCCGGTATTATCAATTATACCCTTCATATCTCTTCGTCTTTCAGGTGGAGTCCCTTCGATATTAGGTATATTCCACGTCCACGATAAGGAAGTTAAATTAAATGAATAAACATTTGATACAAAAGCATCTTGATCCAGATCATTGAGAATTGCACCACCAAATAAATAAATATTTTGTTCCTTATCATTCAATAAAGCAGTTCCCCAGCAACTTCTGAATGGTATTTCGGCATTATGCTTAAGGGAAACCCATGGTGGAGCAGCTAAATTAAATGACTGAGATAAATCGAGGTAAAACACTTGATTTGTGCAAGAATTGGCATAGTCAACATATCCGCCAAAAAAATACAGCTTATTTCCAACTAGGACTGTATGATGAGCTAGACGTCCTTCAGGTGTAAATGACTCAACTCTAAAGAATAAATAGATTAACATGAAAGTGAACATGTAAAGTAATTTATATTTTTTAAACGTCATGATTTCAATTAATTAATTAATTTCAATGTTAAAAAATAATTTTTTTTTGATAAATATTCGTCAAACAAAAAAATTGGTAAAAAAATAATTTTTTTTTGATAAATACCTGTCAAAAAAAAAGGGGGTTTATCTGTGAAATTTAAATTTCACATATATTGTAGTAAAATATTCTTTATACAGTAAGTCTTTAAATTTTGTGTTACATTATGATGTAAAAGCCATTCCGTTTAATTTTGGTTAAAAGTTATAATTATATTAAACTAGTTGGTATCTACTGCGCTGAGCAGGTTATGAGAATAGAATCATTAGTAATTGAATGATTTAGAAATTAATGATTATGAACTAATATTTGGAAGATGTGTTTTTTGACAAGGAAAATAAGCATGTAAATATAAATTAATTAGTTTATTATATATAATTATACATTTTATCTCTTACCCATTAAATAAATACTTTTTATAATAAATAAAAAAAAAAACTTCAAATACTCTACTACATAATTTGTTTTTTATAGAATCCATAGTAAAAATTAAATTTTTTGATGATGTTTGAGAAATCTTGTAACTTGCCGATCAATTGATAAATCCTCTATCCACCCCCTTGGCATTTTTTATTTTATTTGAAAAATTGAAACAAAAACTTGGAAATAATCGTATATATATTTTTTGCATTTATTTTATTTTTATTTTTATTTTTTTTGATGATAAAAGAAAAAATTGAAAAAAACAACTAAAAATTGGAAAATTAAATAAAAAGGTTGTAAAATATTAAGCAAATAATCGGAAAATTTTTAACAATAATTATAATAATAAGAGAAATTGTTAAATTTCGATTGTATTTTAGATATAACGATATAGTTGTTAATTAAGTAATCATTTGCACTAATTAATTTAGTTATCATTTGATAAATTAGCTTAATTATTTTAATTTTAAGAATAAAGATAAATTTCACATTTACTTCATTAGAATGCGACAGCGAGGGAATTTCTTTAACCAACTTAGTAGTGCTGGTAATAGAAGCTAAGGATGGTGTAATGGAACAAACAGGAGATTATAAACTTATCGATCAGACGTAACGCGCGATCTTTTTTTTCAAGTTAAATTGGAATCTAATAATTCAAATGGAAAATCGACAATAAGGAATAATACCGTTATGTATTGGTAGTTGACATATGACGTAGAACCTGACTACCATGAAAACGAACCCCTCACGGCATTACATTCCGGAACCTATCGTCACGATCCGAAGCAGTATACCGACCATTTACAATGAATGCATTCATCACTCTGCTTCCTTCCTCGTCTAGTCCTCAAAGTCTCGTGTTGGTTTTCTGTCTCATGTAAGTGCTAATAAAACGAGTAATGATATTTAAAATAGCATTAAACCAATTTAGGATAGGTGCAAAAATGTCATCTCAATGTTTACCTTTTTTATGATTAGAACTTACGGGCGTCAAAAAAAGATTGTTGTCGTAGAACAACACGAGAAAGTGTTAAAGTATTTCGAAACGATAGACGATCAGGTTGCATGGAGAATTAAATTATTTGGAGGTATCCCGAAATTGTTTGTGTATCAAAAAGTTATTTACTTCAGAAGTAAGGTCCGGTTAAATAATAGAATGAGGTGGTGAAAGAAAATGAATATATGGAAACTAATATGTCAAAATATGTTTTCCAGGTCGAAATATTTAGATTCATCGTTAACTCATTTTTTATTTTTTCCCGACAGTTTCTAACCTATTATTTTGCGATGGGATTTTATATTATACGTATTAGGAATTCACATAATAGAGGAAGGTAAATTACACAATATATTAATTGTGATCAGTGTTGTAATTTAAAACCTATTTTGTTCAGTTCCCACCCCCTTCACCGTACGATATGGCGTTTTTTTTGCAGAATATATCACGCATGAACGTGTGAATAGTTTTTTTTTTTTATAATCCAAAGATGCGTACCTTTACCAAAAAAAAATTCATTTTGACAATAAAAAAAAACCTTATAATTTGTGTGACGCTTTTTGATAAGAACTTTTATTATATTTGGATTATAGGCGCAAATTGTTTTTTTTAAAAAAAGAACCTTGTACATTTTCGTCAATGATGTGAGGGCTGAGGCGTTAATAAACAACCGGATAAATAACAGGAATGCTGATCAATAAAATGATTTTCGTATTGTCTTCGTTATGCGAGTTGGCACCACCCCAATAATTAAATGTTTCAAGTCTGCTTTGCTTGTAGGTTTCCCAATCATGAAACTATAAACAATTTTCCAATATTTTCACAGGATCATCATTATTTGATATACAATATAACCATTAAAGTATATGATTTGCTGCTAATCAAGGAAAATCTAGCTTATCAATGAACCTCCTTTATGTCAATGAATTTCCTCATTTTGGTGGGGGAAAGGAGAGATCTTTTTTTTTTTTTTTTTTTTTTTTTCATTATTTAAACTCTGGTTTTTCTCTTACCTTTTCTCTCAAAAAAAAAAAACCCCCCCAAAAAAACTCCGAGAACTCCGAAAACTCCGAATAATTTCAATCATTTTAATAACTTCTTATTCCCTTCACATCCCCCTCATTATTTAAAAATGGACCGACTTTCAACCTTTTGTCTAGATCACATTTTCAGATACTTCAATATTAAGACTGTAAATGATCATGTTAGTACAAGTGATAGATTGGCTTTAACAACATGCTTGTTGGTGAATCGTCAGTGGTTTGAGATAGCTGTCAAAATTTTTTGGGAAGAAAGTGTTTATAATCTACCTCCTTTGTTGGCTTGTCTTCCCGATGAATCGAAACAGATAATACGAGATAATGTACCTTTTATACCAGAAACCGATCTAAACACACCTCCATTCATGAATTACATGTCAATTAATCAACAATTAAATTTCAATTATCTTAATCATGTTATTCGAACAATCATTATAAGATATGATCCCGATAACACCGTTAATGATGATCAACAACGATTTCAAGATTATAAGGAAGTTATTTATCGTGAGATGGTTAAATTATTCATGTTGAAAGCTCCATTGAGGAAACTCCATTTCTTTACAGAAATCGACGATGATGATGCGCCTCACGTAGACTTTGCTTCATTTCCCAATGCAATAAACACATTAAAACAACTTACGACATTTGAAACTTGTACGGATGTAGATCCGAGATTTTTGCAACAGGTTTTATCATGTCAAAAATTTGAAAATATTTCATTGCATTTCGAAGAAACATATTCGGAGGGTTTAACGGAGATCGTAAACAACCAAAATAATCTAAAAGGACTTAAGGTAATTCGGGAGCATAAAGCGTATCATTGGCCTAAATTAGCTGATTCATTGGAAAATCATCCTTCACATCATATTACCTTGACAAAATTATATTTATCCTTGTGCGGATTTAAATCATCAATCAGATTCCTACGTAATTTTGAGAATTTGCGTGAATTGACCCTTTACCAATTTCATGATTTTTTTGATGATTTCGAAGTGTTGCAACATGTTTCTTTTCCGCATTTGAGGTATTTGAAGATGGTCCCGATCATACCAAGAGAGGAAGAATTAATAACATTTTTTGAACGTAATGGGAAAAGTTTGGAGCATCTTGAGATTGATTCAAATCACGAAGAATTAGATTTTTGTATTCCCAGGTTCTGTCCGAACCTTAAACATTACGGAAAGATCAGAAACACTCGGGAACTTATGGAAAATCTATTTGATCATTGCAAGGAATTAAGAGTGCTTTGGGTTACATGCAAGAACAATCATTTTAATGAGAGCAAGATTATTAGACTTATTGGAAGGTTAATGCCAAAGAATCATATTGAAGTGAAAATATATACAAAGATTCCCAATCAATCAGAGATAATTTTGGAAGAATTGAACAATGCGCTAAAGAGTTGGGAAGAATACGACCCACCTAAAACCATTTCACTGCACCTTCAAAGAGCATACAGGGTCGACATTAGACCTTCTATTAGAAATGTAATTGCAAAATATGAGGATATGGGAATTATTAAAGCATTCGAAGCTGAAGAACATCATAATTGGTAACTGGTGGACGTTCAAAAATGATTATTTTAATATAAAATTAATTGTTTATTTAAAAAAAAATAACTTCTATAGATAGAATATGTTTATATTTTTATAATTTTTCCAAAATCATTTTCGTTTAGTATTATTAATTTATTGTAATAAAAATAAAAAAACGTTTATTTTAATATGAATAATATATATAAGTTATAAATAAAATATTTTTAAAATATTATCTATTACAAATTTATCGATATGGAAATACTGTAAATTCTAAATTAAATAAGTATTCGTTTAAATGTATTGGCTGGTCAAACCATAACAATAGAATACGAATCTTCTGATGACAATTGACAATTTTAAATCTTTAATTCGAAATCAGTTTGATATCAAATTCGCATAACTATTCTCTTTTCCATGTGATACAACTAGTTTATAAGGAAATTGGAAAAAAAATTTTCCAAAAAAAAATTCGGCTGAGGAAGTTTAATAATTTAAAATTTTGGTTTACAACAGCTCATATGGTACCTTTATTTGTGCAACCATATGATCAGGTTCCAATAATCTTAACGAGACGAAAGGGAAGTACAAGACAAGGTAACAGATTCTAAATTCAACATATTCTGAGCTTGCCTGAGTTACAAACTGAAATGGATCATGCCGATCAAAAAATTTTTTATTAAATCAACATCACATACGCTGTTTGTATAAATTTAACTTAACGCCTCAAAGTACTCTTTTCGAGTTGTTACTTTCCGCCTGTGATCTGAAGCGGTAGAAGAGTTTTTATTTTAAAAAAGTTTCGGAGAAAGCGATTTTTTTTCAAAAAAAATTTAGTAAAAGCTCGGAGGTGGCGATTTTTTTGATTTATTTAATAGAATCTTAGGGGCGATTTTTTTTTAAAAAAAAGCTTCAGAAGCAAATTATTCAAAACAATGGTATAAGTTAAAGGCAAGTTTTTAACAAAAATATAAATTATCAAAGATTTTTTTGTAGGGAAAATCTTTTAATATATAAAGATGGTTTACATTAACTTTGTCTTTTCAGGTACTCAATAATTTTTATCCTTTAGAAACTAATATGTGTAGCTTTCTTGTACTAGAATTATCATCGTCTATGAAAATTTATAGAAAAGTACACCTAATTTAATTGAAAATTTAAATTTTATACTTTTTATGACAAAGTATTTTTGTTTAATGCCCGAATTACAACAACAAAATGGTTTTACTAATGGATCACGTGTTTACTTGTCAATAAAAAAAATTATTACCTCAAGAAAAATAACTATGCTAAGAAATATGCAAGTGAATTTTTCATACTATTATATTTAGAAACTTTATTAAATTTAATTTGTTAAGTGGCTTTCCCTCTCATCAATTATTATTTCTAATTTATAAAAAGAAATTAAACTTTTCGTATGAACTTGTCTCATTCAGATATAATGCTACCATTCCATCCCATCCGGTAAAATGACGTTTAATAATTAAATCATACAACATTTCTACTGAAACAATAACAATTATCTTACAGAATAATTCTTTCAATTTATTATTTCAGAATCAGGCTGAAATTTTGTAATGCTTTTAGATACTTTACTTTCCACTGTATTTACCTATGATAGTTCTTTTTTTGAACCAAATTTAAATTCAACCGAAAAAAAAATAAATCGTTTGTTGTGATCGGCACAGAAATGTACAAAATATAAGAATTAAATTAGTCTTCAAAATCTTAAACTCAGTCCTATCGAATACTTTTTGTACTTTTAATTTTTGGTTAAGAAAGGTTCCAGTGTAGAAGCCACAAATAATACTGTTACTGTACATGACAATACTGGGAGATACAGTAAATATTTTTTTCCAGCAATTTCTTCTGCATAGATGTTTTCTTTATGCTGTTTATTTTTTTTTCTATTTTCGAACATCTCATAGAGCAAAATACAAAGAAAAAGTTGAGAATAAAAAAAAAATTAGGAATGCAAAATGATTGTAAGAATCATTAAAAGCATCAAAATCAAATTAGTTTATTTATCTATTTCTTTACTGTATTGTGTATATAAAATTTATTAGTGGCCTTTTTTTGATAAACAAAACGTAGAAAAATGATTTAAACAAAATCGGTATGGAATTATCAAATTATCAAAATTTGCAATTCTGTTTTCCGTCATAATTGTGAAATTTTTACGCTCCGTTAACCTAAATAGCAAAAGGATAATTACCAAAGTACAAAAAAAATAAATCATGTACGACGTACTTTAATAATAAGAAGACCTATATTGACCTATTAATAGTAAGTCTAAAAATATAACCTATTGTTACAATTGTTACAATAAAAGATTTCCACAATCTTCGCATGACTAGCTATTTTAGGTAAGCCATAAATTTTCCTGTATTTACACTTGTAGTAACCTTTTTTAGTAAAATTTTCGAAATTTTAAAGGATTGGCGTAAGAAAAAAAGTATATATAGAGCGGTAGGAATTCAAAGGTTTTCTCCAACAATTCATTTAAATCTTTCAAACTCATATTTTGTAAAAAAGCATTCGCATAAAGTAACCCTATTTCAGTTTATTCTTTTAGTATTTTAAAATTTCAATATGTCGCAACCTGGAATTTTCACCAGATCAAATTTGATTTACATACCGCTGTCAATAACGACCGCTCACACGTTAAATTTCATATATAATTCTCCATTATCTACATGGCAAGAATTTCCTCCAAAATTACCAACCTCAGTATATTCTTCAATATTTTTTACTCCATTATTATTATTTTTATCACTTTCATTTGAACCAATTCAATCAAGTAAACGTTTTTATACTTTATTATCGCTCGCTCTTATATTTGTTTCTATTCCGATAAGTTTTCGCGAGTTATATCCTCCTAGTATTCAAAACAATTTTGTGGCTTATGGGGCAATGCTTGGAGTAAAAATGTTATTATTTTTAAAATATAATTGGTCATACTTGAATCAAGAAGGTTCGAATCAAAAGAAAGAATTTAAACCATTCCTCTGGTTAATATTTAATACACGCTTTAACTCTTACATCATTCCTCCAAAAAAAGAAAATTCTAACGAAAAAGAAAATTCCTTGATTATTACATCACCGAAGACTTCACAAATTAACAAAAAAATAATTAATCGCACTATTATTACCTTGACAAAATGTCTTATTCTTGATCTTGTAATGTTAATTTCAACTAGATATACAACGGTAATTCCAGAGAAACCATACCAACTTCGTTTATTAGAATTTTTTACAAAAGGAATCCCTGCGTTTACAATGAATTCAATGTTACAATACTTAAATTTCCTTTTATGTGTATATTTAGTGTTGTCCATATATTCTTACGATATATATACTATCATTAATGCAACCTTCTACCGTTTATTCCTTCATTCCTCATCGGAAGAAATGAATTATAAACCTATTTTAATTAAATCTGGTCTTCTCACTTCTTCCGAATATTTCTCTCTAAAAGAATGGATGATCACTTTCCTTTTCAATACAAAACATTTGTTTAGTGAACCATGGATGGCGTCAAGCCCTCGTGACTTTTGGTCTGTTCGTTGGCAATTATTAGCTAATGAAGTTTTCAAAGAACTAGGTTTTTTACCTGTTAGGAATGCATTCGTCCCATTCGTTCCTAAGAAAGTCGCAAATATGATGGGCGTGTTAGGTGCATTCGGTGTTAGCGCTTTATTGCATGAATACCTTATCATTGGTCAATTTAATATTTGGACAGGTGAACACCTCTTTTTCTTTATGATCCATGGTGTAATATTCATCTTGTGGAAGGCTATTTTTGGTCGTGAAAATATAAATGAGTATTCAAAAATTAAAAGGTTCTTAAAATGGTTCCTATTGTTGATTGTTAATCTGTCTGTTTTGCCAGCATTCATTGAACCTTTAAGAAGGCGACCTGAGATATTTGATATTCCTTCAATTTTTATTAAACATTATTAATCAATTTAATAAAGATTCGAGAGGTATTTAAAATTATAAACATTTATTGTTACAATTAAAATATTTTTCATTATCGAGTTATGGATAGAATTTAGATAGAAATTTAGGCATTTAGAATAATTCATCATACGTCATAATGTTCATAATTCGTCATCATTTCACAAAGTAAATTTAAATAAAAATTTAGCAATTAATTCATTTATCATCATTTATTAAATATAATAAGATATTTCATTTTGCTCTCGTTATTTAAACATTTTTCCAAGTTTTTTATAGAAAGTTTGATGGTCACAACCCATCGATATTAAAACACGAAATAAAAAAATTAAATTCAAAATAAGCACTCATTTTCAAAAATATCATTAAACAAAACATAAAAAATGTAAAGAACGTATTTTAGACCATAAATATTAATATTCTTGAATTAAAATGAAATTAATTTTATTATTAAAAAAATTCAAAGAAGAATCCTAAGAAGCTCACAATAAGTTCTTAAAAAAAAAAAAAATAACCCGCCATATACATATATCGAGAATAATTTTATAACGTTACAAAGTTGCTTCATAGCAACAGGAGCTCTTTGATTATCTTTATCAAATATTAAAATGACCTAAACACTTTAATTATATTGTTTCTATTGTATCTTCGTGGCTTTTCATATAAGCTAGGTATACAATGAAATTTTGTAAAAAAAATTTCGAATCGAAATAATTATTCTTTGACAAAAATGGGATTAGGGGTTTTATCCGCATAAATAAACCATTTATTAATAATATTTATTAATCATAAAATATATATACTGTGCCTAAATATTTTAATATTTGTATTATATGTTTAGAAATTAATATTCAAGCCTGATGAAAATAAAGTTCCAGGTCAACTAAAAATAAAATTTAGAATATTAACATTAGTAATTTTTCAGAATCAT